ATGGAGTCACCAAGCCTCTTGACTGACAGTGGAGTCACCCAGCCTCTTGATTGACAGTGGAGTCACCCAGCCTCTTGACTGGCCGTGGAGACATCCAGTCCCCTAACTGACAGTGGAGTCACCCAGTCCCTTTACTGACAGTGCAATCACCCATCTTCTTGAATGACAGTGGAGTCACCTAGCCTCTTGACTGACAGTGGAGACACCAAGCCACTTGACTGACAGTGGAGTCACCCAGCCTTTTTGTCTCACAGTGGAATCACCAAGCCTCTTGACTGATAGTGGAGTCACCCAGCCTCTTGACTGGCAGTGGAGTCACCCAGCCTCTTGACTGACAGTGGAGTCACCCAGCCTTTTGTCTCACAGTGGAATCACCAAGCCTCTTGACTGATAGTGGAGTCACCCAGCCTCTTGACTGACAGTGGAGTCACCCAGCCTCTTGACTGACAGTGGAGTCACCCAGCCACTTGACTGACAGTGCAGTCACCCAGCCTCTTGACTGATGGTGGAGTCACCAAGCCTCTTGACTGATGGTGGAGTCATCCAACCTCTTGACTGATGGTGGAGTCACCAAGCCTCTTGACTGACAGTGGAGTCACCAAGCCTCTTGACTGATGGTGGAGTCATCCAACCTCTTGACTGACAGTGGAGTCACCCAGCTTCTTGACTGACAGTGGAGTCACCCAGCCTCTTGACTGACAGTGGAGTCACCCAGTCACTTGACTGACAGTGGAGTCACCCAGCCTCTTGACTAATGGTGGAGTCACCAAGCCTCTTGACTGATGGTGGAGTCACCCAACCTCTTGACTGACTGATGGTGGAATCACCAAGCCTCTTGACTGACAGTGGAGTCACCAGGCCCTCTTGACTGATGGTGGAGTCACCCAGCCTCTTGACTGACAGTGGAGTCACCCAGCCTCTTGACTGACAGTGGAGTCACCAAGCTTCTTGAATGATGGTGGAGTCACCCAACCTCTTGACTGGTGGTGGAGTCATTCAACCTCTTGACTGACGGTGGAGTCACCAAGCCTCTTGACTGATGGTGGATTCACCCAACCTCTTGACTGATGGTGGAGTCACCCCCCCTCTTGACTGATAGTGGATTCACCCAGATTCTTGACTGACAGTGGAGTCACCCAGCCTCTTGACTGACAGTGGAGTCACCCAGTCCCCTAACTGACAGTGGAGTCACCCAGTCTCTTGACTGACAGTTGAGTCAGCTTCTAGGCAGGTATCTTAATGCTAATTCTATTTGTCCAAAAAAATAGCAAATTAGAGAAATCATCTGGTCTGATTCTTGGGGAGAAGAATGTGGATCCACAGTAAATAATCTTTGGGGAACAACGTGTGAACCTACAAGTTAACCCTTTGGGTAGTAAAGCGAGTGAACTAATAGAAATGAGGTGCTACCAGCTCAGAAAAGGGAGTAGTGGTGGCTGGGTGATGGAGGTCCTCTAGGTAGGGTGGTCTGACACTTGATGCTCCCTGCTGAGTGGTTGGGCCCCTATCTTAGGACTTGCTGTGAAACAGAACTGGTCCTAGGCCCCTGGCTTGGAATCACAGTGTGCAAAGCCTTGTGGTGTATGTGCGGTGGCTCCCCTCCTAGCCTATGGGCTGAAGTTGCAGAATCGCTGTGTGGTGAAGAGCTAGTGGAGAGAGTCAGCACTCAATGCTGATCACCTCAAAACGACTCTGCATTCAGTACTAGGAAAGGTGTCACTGACAAGAGTAAGGACCAAATCCTTTTGTTCATGAGGCCTGGTAAAGTAATTTGGCCATTGGTCATGAGGGGGTGCTGAACCCACATGAGTGACAGTACAATACTAACAGCATGCAGTTCCTCCATGCTAACAAGCTGACCTCTTGACTGACAGTTAAGTCACCCAATCCCTGACTGAGAGAGGAGTATCCCTGTCTCTTGATTGACAATGGAGTCACCCAGTCCCCTGACTGACAGTGGCATCATCCAGTCCCCTGAATGACGGTGCAGTCACCCCGCCTCCTGGCTCACAGTGGGGTTATCCAGTCCCCTGACTGACAGTTGAGTCACAGGCTCTCCTGACTGACAGTGGAGTCACAGAACCTTTTAAATGACAGTGGAGTCACAAAACCTCTTGACTGACAGTGGGGTCATTAGTGGCAGAACTACCAAGGTCGCAATGGGTGCCCTTGTAACTGGTCCCTGGTATTCCACCACCATGGGGGGCCTCAAGACAGCAGGAAGGAGGTCTGCTGCAGAGGATGTGAAGAGGGTTCCGCTGCGGGACCATAAGGTTTGATCCCAAAGTTGTAGTTGTAAGACTTGCTTGTGACTTACTTGCAACTTCCTTGCAACTTGCTTGCGACTTTTGTGATTTTACATTGCAGGCTAAGCCACTCAAAATGCACCGAAGTTGCAGAAAGGTAGTGCAGGAACCTTTTTTTTTTGAGTTGCATTAATTAAGAGGACACCCATTGAAGTGAATGTGTTTTGACTTGTCATGCAACTTTATGGGGTTGATTTACTAAAACTGGAGCTTCCAGTTTTTTTTGGCAAAGCTTAATTGAACAAGCTAAAGTAAGAAGGTGATTGGCTGCCGTGCACAGCTGCACCAGATCTTGCACTCTCCAGTTTTAGTAAACCAACCCCTACGTGTTGGTATAAAAGTCCCTGCAATGTGAATAAAGGGCCCCTGAGATCAGTGAAAAGGGCCCCCGGCGATTGGGGGGGAGAGGGAGACCTTTATGATTTCCTGCATCGGGTCCCTGAAGGTTCCAGTCATGCCTCTGAGAGTCACCTGACTCTATGGTGCCTGTGCACACCTGATTGCGCGAGAACAAGCACCATAGAGTACAATTTATTTTTTTAAGTTTGAGCGTTTTTGGAGCTTTGAGCTTCAAGCTACAAAACACTCCAGTGTGAATGTGGCCGTAAAGCAATGTCAAGGGACTGGGTGGCTCCACTTTCAGTTAGGGGACTGGGTGTCTCCACTGCCAGTCAAGAGGCTGGGTGACTCCACTGTCAGTCAAGAGGCTTGGTGACTCCACTGTTAGTCAAGTGGCTTGGTGACTCCACTGTCAGTCAAGAGGCTGGGTGACTTCATTGTCGGTCAAGAGGCTGGGTGACTCCATTGTCAGTCAAGAGGCTGGGTGACTCCCCTGTCAGTCAAGAGGCTGGGTGACTCCATTGTCAGTCAAGAAGCTGGGTGACTCCCCTGTCAGTCAAGAGGCTTGGTGACTCCACTGTCAGTCAAGAGGCTGGGTGACTCCATTGTCAGTCAAGAGGCTGGGTGACTCCACTGTCAGTCAAGAGGCTGGGTGACCCCACTGTCAGTCAAGAAGCTGGGTGACTCCCCTGTCAGTCAAGAGGCTTGGTGACTCCACTGTTAGTCAATAGGCTGGGTAACTCCATTGTCAGTCAAGAGGCTGGGTAACTCCATTGTCAGTCAAGAGGCTGGGTGACTCCACTGTCAGTCAAGCAAATGGGTGACTCCACTGTTTTCTTATCTGCCCTTATTCATCTTCCTTCACTACTCCATTTACCCACTGGGAGTGAACAGACATTTCTGGTACTTCCATGTATAGGGGAACGTGTGACTCACATGCTTTCACTCCACGTAACAGCATTAGTGCTTGGTGACTTTGCTGGGCCAAGCTTAAATCTCCTACTTTATTAAAAAAATACTGTAATACAAAAATTAGACTAAAAATATAAAATAAGGGCAATATAGTAAATGTGAACATGTGCAGGATATGCTTTTGAAAAAGTTGTTTTGAATAAGTCTTAGTTAAATCAGTGCATGAACCAAGAATGTGTGTATGATAGACATACAATGTATGACAATTTAATTCCCGGAATGAACTGTAAAAAAAAAAACTTTGTGCAGGAGCATTGTCAGCCTGGGTAATCCACTATGTACCAGAGTAATAACCAAAATATTTAGTTTGGCTGTTTAATATGATGTCTGCTAATCAGCATATTGTACTAAGGCTGCTTTCTGTGTTTTATGGTTTATTTATTTTTTTCAATGAAAGTTTATTAGGAGCATTTTTTTGCATATCCACCTAACACCCACACATATATATACAGTATCTTCAAGAAGTGAGTACATCCCTCACATTTTTGTAAATATTTGATTCTATCTTTTCATGTGTCATGTGATGATCGGTGCCAATCCCTGCTCTGACAACTGCTGGTTCTCGGCAGTACTTTCCTCACGCTGTGACAGCGTGAGGAATGTGCAGCCCAGAACCGGCAATTGCATTTCCCGGTGATAAGCATGTCATTGGACACGGCTGATCACGTGGTAAAAGGCTGCTGTGATTGGCCTTTTACCACACATCACATGATCAGCTGTGTCCGTAGGACACAGCGATCATGGAGATTTTTTCCGGGTGCACGCCCCCAGGGGCACGCAGGAGAGTGCGTTCTGGGAGGACGTCATATGACGCCGTCCCAGAACTGGCCGGCCGCAGTGCAGCCGTCATTCAGCTATCTGCGGTCGGCAACTAGTTAAACCTCATTGGCCCCATAGTCCCCCAATTACACAGAGCATTGAGGTCAGCCTGTAAGTTGGAGACATCCTGTAAGGACGTTATTCCACAGCACAGCTTGGTGTCATCTGCAAAGACTGAAATGGGATTTACAATCCCAGACCCTATATTGTTTATAAAGTAAGGATCCCAACACTGAACCTTGGGGTACACCACTGACAACACTTAACCTTGGGGTACCCCACTAATAACACCGAACCTTGGGGTACACACCACTGACAACACTGAACCTTGGGGTACACCACTGATAACACTGAACCTTGGCGTACACCACTGATAACACTGAACCTTGGGGTACACCATTGACACCCCTAGACCATGCAGAGTATGAATCATTAACCACTACTCTCTGAATACCTTCTTTTAGCCAGTTTTCTATCCATTTACATACGGATTTTTCCAGCCAGTTGACTTTATCTTATACATTAGCCGTGTGTGGGGAACTGTGTCAACGCTTTTGCAAAAATACCACATCCACCGCCACCCCTCTGTCCAAGTATACCACGTCCACCACCACTCCTATGTCCAAGTATACCATGTCCACAGCCACCCCTCTGTCCAAGTATACCACGTCCACCACCACTCCTATGTCCAAGTATACCATGTCCCACAACCACCCCTCTGACCAAGTATACCATGTCCACCGCCACCCCTTCGTCCAAGTATACCACGTCCACAGACACCCCTCTGTCCAAGTATACCACGTCCACCACCACTCCTATGTCCAAATATACCATGTCCACAGCCACCCCTCTGTCCAAGTATACCACGTCCACCGCCACCCCTCTGTCCAAGTATATCACGTCCACCACCACTCCTATGTCCAAGTATACCACGTCCACAGACACCCCTCTGTCCAAGTATACCACGTCCACCACCACTCCTATGTCCAAATATATACCATGTCCACAGCCACCCCTCTGTCCAAGTATACCACGTCCACCGCCACCCCTCTGTCCAAGTATATCACGTCCACCACCACTCCTATGTCCAAGTATACCATGTCCACAGACACCCCTCTGTCCAAGTATACCACGTCCACCGCTACCCCTCTGTCCAAGTATACCATGTCCACAGCCACCCCTCTGTCCAAGTATACCATGTCCACAGCAACCCCTCTGTCCAAGTATACCATGTCCACAGACACCCCTCTGTCCAAGTATACCATGTCCACAGCCACCCCTCTGTCCAAGTATACCACGTCCATCGTCACTCCTCTGTCCAAGTATACCACGTCCACAGCCACCCCTCTGTCCAAGTATACCACGTCCACCGCCAACCCTCTGTCCAAGTATACCACCTCCACAGCCACCCTTCTGTCCAAGTATACCATGTCCACAGCCACCCCCTCTGTCCAAGTATACCACGTCCACCACCAACCCTCTGTCCAAGTATACCACGTCCACCGCCAACCCTCTGTCCAAGTATACCACCTCCACAGCCACCCCTCTGTCCAAGTATACCACGTGCACAAACACCCCTCTGTCCAAGAATACAACGTCCACCGCCACCCCTCTGTCCAAGTATACCACGTCCACAGCCACCCCTCTGTCCAAGTATACCACGTCCACCGCCAACCCTCTGTCCAAGTATACCACCTCCACAGCCACCCTTCTGTCCAAGTATACCATGTCCACAGCCACCCCTCTGTCCAAGTATACCACGTCCACCACCAACCCTCTGTCCAAGTATACCACGTCTACCGCCAACCCTCTGTCCAAGTATACCACCTCCACAGCCACCCCTCTGTCCAAGTATACCACGTGCACAAACACCCCTCTGTCCAAGAATACCACGTCCACCACCACCCCTCTGTCCAAGTATACCACGTCCACAGCCACCCCTCTGTCCAAGTATACCACGTCCACCACCACCCCTCTGTACAAGTATACCACGTCCACCGGCCACCCCTCTGTCCAAGGTCTGGCTCACCTCCTCATAAAAATAAATCAGATTTGTGTGACAACTTCTGTCTTTCATGAATCCATGCTGTCTGTTGCTTAAAATATTTTTTTCCAGCAAGAACTCATCTCTGTGATCTTTTATTAAACTCTCCAGTATCTTCCCAACTATAGAAGTTACACTAACAGGTCTATAATTACTTCATAAAGATTTTGACCCCTTTTAAATATTGGCCCCACATTGGCCTTACACCAATCCAGTGGTACTATGCCAGTCATTAAAGAGTCCCTAGAAATTAGAAACAATGGCTTTGAAATGACAGAGCTCAGTTCTTTAAGGCCCGTGGGTGTATGCCATCCGGTCCAGGGGCTTTATTCACCTTTATTCTGTCTAAATATTTCTGGATCATATCAATTGTGAGCCAATGTGGATCATCTGGAGCTGTGTCAGTACCACGCCCATTATGGACAAGAGCTCCCCCATGATCCTTTGTATACACAGAGCTGAAGAAGGGATTTCATAAATGTGTCTTCTCTTTGTCCCCAGTCACCCCCTCTAGATGATTCTGTAAAGGGCCTACATGCTCGGACCGAACCTTTCTACTATTAATATATTTGAAGAATGTTTTGGGGTTTATCCCGCTATCTTTTGCAATCTGTCGTTCATTTTCAATTTTTGTGGCCTTGATTTTCTTTTTATGTATTCTGTTATATTCTTTGTAATGATTAAACGATGATATCGTTCCTTCATTTTTATATTTAATAAAAGCTCTTTTCTTATTATCTATAGCTTTTTTTTTTTAACTTTGTCTGTAAGCCACATAGGTTTGATTTTTAGCCTTTTAAACTTGTTGCCCATGGGAATATTTATTGCAGTGTGGTCACATACATTCTTTTTGAAGAACTCCCATTTCTGTGTTGTGTTCATCGATGCCAATATTCCCTCCCAGTCTAAGTCTTGGAGAGCAGCTCTCAGGCTTGGAAAATTAGCTCTTTTAAAGTTGAGTGTTTTTGTCTATCCTGTATGTGCTTGTTGTTTACAGCTAACAATAAATGAAATCATGTTATGGTCCCAGATGTTCTTTTATATGGACATTCGTAATAAGCTCTGCATGGTTTGAGATGACCAGGTCCAGCAGAGCATCATTCCTAGTTGGGGCCTCTATGAACTGTACCATAAAATTGTCCTGTAGTAGGTTTATAAATGTTTGCCCTTTAACTGTTCCTGCAGTACCATTACTACAGTCAATTTCTGGGTAGTTAAAATCCCCCATTATTATCACTGTCCCAGCCCTTGCAGCCCTTTCGATCTGTGCAAGGGGCTGAGTTTCCACCTCCTCATTAACACCGGGAGGCCTATAACAAACTCCAATGATTACCTTTGCAGTAAGCACCCCCATGTGCAGTTCCACCCATAATGCTTTAGCCTCATCACACTCTCCGTATATTTTATAATATGAATTTATTTGAACACCAAATTGATGAAGTCAAATTAATAATTATATATGTATAATTATTAATGAAAATGTTATATACAGTATAGATATATTATTTTATTACAGTATATCTACACAATTAATTTTTATATTTATATATACATTATATAATTTGAACACCAAATTGATAAAGTCAAATGAATAATTATATATGTATAATTATTAACGAAAATGTTATATACAGTATAGATATATTATTTTATTACAGTATATATATATACAATTATTTTTTATATTTATATATACATTATATAATTTATTTTTTTATATCCTGTATATATATAAAAAAAGAAAAATAAAATTATATATATATATATATATATATATATATATATTGTTTGAGCACCAAAATAAAAAAAATTAAAATAGTATTACATATGTATAATAAAATATATTTATTAAAAATGTGCATATATATATATATATATATATATATATATACAATTATATAAGAACATTTTTTCTCTTTGTTAAATTCAGATATGTAATACAGACAATGAACAATGAATCATTTTATTGTTAATATGACATAAATAATAATTTTCAGCTGCAGTTCCTCCCAGGAGAAGCTGCTTTCATAGAATATAATGACGGTCTATTTGCTGGCAGAGACTAAACCTGTATCCTGTCTTCAGGGACCATTATTAGAGTTCCCATCTCTCCTTGGCCATGCACACACAGGGCTGGGCAATCCTCAGTCCTATTAGGCGGCACCTCCCCGGTGTGACATTGAGGAGCAGGTGGGGAAGGAGATGTAATTATGTGCCATTAGGGGCTTTGGCAGACATCAGGGCCTGGATATAACCTCAGAGGGGGGGGTGTGTGTACATTTCGCCATCTCACACACAATTACCTCTCAAATGTTCCTGTAATTGTATATCTCTGGGTTTATTGGCACTAAGAGCCTGAAGTCATTTACAGCCCAGGTGCCTCATCTCTCCCCCCCCCCCCCCGAGATCACCTAAGATTATCCTCTATGGGTCTGATGCAAAATGCTCAGAAACTACTAAAGAAAAGTCAGCAGCCATTAGTACACCTGTGAGCAAAAAAGCCCAAAAAAAAAAAAAATATTAAGAAAAAATTGGTTCTGAAAAATTGCATAAATGTAGGAAGTTCTGGCGAAATAATTTTTTATATATCAGTGTCAAAACATAAATGCAAGTATGAACTGTGTCATAAGGAGCCACGTAAATGAAATAATTAAAAATGAAAAAATGCATATTTAATCATTAATAAAATTACAATTACTCTTAAAAAGGCTAATAAATTAAATAAATAACTTTAATAATTAAATTATTTAAAGAAATGTGTTATAAGAAGCCTAGGAAATGATATAAATAAATAAATATGAACCAATGCATATTTAATCATTAATAAAATCACAGTTACTCTTAAAAAGGCTAATAAATTAAAAAAATAAATAACTATAATAATTAAATTATTTAAAGAAATGTGTCATAAGAAGCCTAGTATATGAAAATAATTAAAAATGAACCAATGAATATTTAATCATTAATACAATTCCAATTACTCTTAAAAAGGCTAATAAATTAAATAAAAATAACTATAATAATTAAAATTATTTAAAGAAATATGTCATAAGGAGCCTAGTAAATGAAATAATTAAAAATGAACCAATGCATATTTAATCATTAATAAATTACAATTACTCTTAAAAAGGCTAATCAATTAAATTAAATACCTATAATAATTAAATTATTTAAAGAAATGTGTCATAAGGAGCCTAGTAAATGAAATAATTAAAAATGAACCAACGCATATTTAATCATTAATAAAATTACAATTACAATTACTCTTAAAAAGGCTAATAAATTAAATAAATAAATAACTATAATAATTAAATTATTTAAAGAACAGGTAAGCTCAAACACTAAAATCACATAAGAGTTAACATGGTATTGTACTTTAATTCCAAAAATATTTTTTTAAATACATACTTTTTTAAACCAGCAGCTTTTTAAAATACAATATTCCCATAACCAACAGAAACCCACCCTATACAAGGAGGGGGGGGGGGGGGGGGGGGGGAATAGGATGGAACTTTAAATTTACCTCCAAAGTTAAATCACCAATATATATAATCCACAAATTGCATGAAAAATAAAATTATTATTTATTGTACATATACATTAAATACAATATATGATGTTAAAATATTTTTTTTTTTCAAAATCCATAAAATAGGTATAGCAGTCCACAATCTCAGTCTCTAGTCTGGTGAACTTCAAATGCACTCTATGTTAGTCGATATGTTTCCCGATAACTGATCGCTTCTTCATATGGGCTCCTTCATATAGGCCAATCTGTAGTTAAAAAATATGTAAACAAATATGAAAAGACCTATAATAAAAAATAATCAATATAAACAAAAACTGTCCCAAAAAAGAAAATCCCTGGTGATCCTGCCATAAAGGCACTTTCTGTAATGTCCCTGTCTCTCAATAGTTCTGCTGCATTGTCCTCCTACCTGAGACAAACTGTGTGAATATTCACTTCAATTACCTGCTTACTTATTTCATATAAACATGATTAGATAACTGAAGTCCATTTATTGTGTGAATATTTACCATTTCTTTAGTAAATCAACCCAAAATGTCTCTGGCAGATTAAATGACTTTGATCTTAAAATATTTTGCTTTTATTACACTGAGTTTAGAAGAAAATGGTCAGCTAAGCTTTCAGTTACGGGCGGATTACATCTACTTTAAACCACTTCCAGTCGGGACACTTTCCCCCCCTTCCAGTCCGGACACTTTCCCCCCCTTCCAGTCCGGACACTTTCACCCCCCTTCCAGTCCGGACACTTTCTCCCCCTTCCAGTCCGGACACTTTCACCCCCTTCCAGTCCGGACACTTTTAAACCCTTCCAGTCCGGACACTTTCCCTCCCTTCCAGTCCGGACACTTTCACCCCCTTCCAATCCGGACACTTCCCTCCCTTCCAGTCCAGACACTTTCACCCCCCTTCCACTTTCACCCCCCTTCCAGTACACTTTCAACCCCCTTCCAGTCCGGACACTTTCACCCCCTTCCAGTCCGGACACTTTCACCCCCTTCCAGTCGGACACTTTCACCCCCTTCCAGTCCGGACACTTTTACCCCCTTCCAGTCCGGACACTTTCACCCCCTTCCAGTCCGGACACTTTCACCCCCTTCCAGTCCGGACACTTTCCCCCCCTTCCAGTCCGGACACTTTTCTCCCCCCTTCCAGTCCGGACACTTTCACCCCCTTCCAGTCCGGACACTTTTACCCCCTTCCAGTCCGGACACTTTCACCCCCTTCCAGTCTGGACACTTTTACCTCCTTCCAGTCCGGACATTTTCACCCCCTTCCAGTCCGGACACTTTTACCCCCCTTCCAGTCCGGACACTTTCACCCCCTTCCAGTCCGGACACTTCCCCCCCCTTCCAGTCCGGACACTTTCACCCCCTTCCAGTCCGGACACTTTCACCCCCTTCCAGTCCGGACACTTTCACCCCCTTCCAGTCCGGACACTTTCCCCCCCTTCCAGTTCGGACACTTTCACCCCCTTCCAGTCTGGACACTTTCCCCCCTTCCAGTCCGGACACTTTCATCCCCTTCCAGTCCGGACACTTTCATCCCCTTCCAGTCCGGACACTTTCCCCCCCTTCCAGTCCGGACACTTTCACCCCCTTCCAGTCCGGACACTTTCACCCCCTTCCAGTCCGGACACTTCCCCCCCTTCCAGTCCGGACACTTTCACCCTCTTCCAGTCCGGACACTTTCCCCCCCTTCCAGTCCGGACACTTTCACCCCCTTCCAGTCCGGACACTTTTAACCCCCTTCCAGTCCAGACACTTTCACCCCCTTCCAGTCCGGACACTTCCCCCCCTTCCAGTCCGGACACTTTCCCCCCCTTCCAGTCCGGACACTTTCTCCCCCCTTCCAGTCCGGACACTTTCTCCCCCCTTCCAGTCCGGACACTTTCCCCCCTTCCAGTCCGGACACTTTTACCCCCTTCCAGTCCGGACACTTCTACCCCCTTCCAGTCCGGACACTTTCACCCCCTTCCAGTCCGGACACTTTCACCCCCTTCCAGTCCGGACACTTTCACCCCCTTCCAGTCCGGACACTTTCCCCCCTTCCAGTCCAGGTCCATTTTCAGCTTTCAGCGCTATCACACATTGAATGACAATTGCGCGGTCATGCAACACTGTACCCATATGAATTTTTTAGCATTTGTTTTGAGACAAATTTTGGTGGTATTTATTCACCGCTGGGACTTTTATTGTTTTTGCTATATAAATGAAAAAGTCCAAAAATGTTGAAAAAAAGTGTTTTTCTTATAAAATTTTGCAAATAAATAATCTTTCTTCATAAATATTGGCCAAAATTTATTCAGTTATCTTTTTAGTAAAAAAAAATAACCCAAATTAGTTAATAACCAAAAATTATAATTTTTCAAAAAATTTGTTTACATTTTAATTTATTTTTTTTTAGATTATTATTTATGTTTTTTTTTTTACATACTGTCACCCTAGCAGTACAGTGTCACCATAGTGACACTGTACTACTTGTGGGGGGGGGGGTGAAGATTCTTTTTTAGCATTTTTTTTGAGACATATAAAGCTTTATTTTGGTGGTATTTATTCACCACTGGGATTTTTATTTTTTTTTGCTATATAAATGAAAAAGTCCAAAAATGTTGAAAAAAAAGTGTTTTTCTTATAAAATTTTGCAAATAAATAATCTTTCTTCATAAATATTGGCCAAATGTATTCAGTTATCTTTTTAGTAAAAAAAAAATAACCCAAATTAGTTTTATAACCAAAAATTATAATTTTTCAAAAAATGTGTTTACATTTTAATTTTATTATTATTTATGTTGTTTTTTTTACATACTGTCACCCTAGCAGTACAGTGTCACCATAGTGACACTGTACTACTTGTGGGGGGTGATGATTCTTTTTTTTTTTTTGTTCACTGATTGCTTTTACACCTAATTAAAGGCTGTAAAAGCATTAATTTCTCCTTCTCTCTGGCTGCATTCTTGCAGCCATTGAGAAATACTGTGTGAGCTGTGATTGGTCACAGCTTGTCACATGGTGATCTCTCATGGTGATCAGCCAGTACCATGTGATCTCTGTGATCATTCACAGATTTCACACGTAGTAAGCAATGATGTCAGAAGTGACATCTTGCTTACTACTATTCATGTGATCAATGATTGGCCAATCAGTGATCACATGATCGGGACCTCACACAGAAGTCCCGTACACCGACAGGTGTTTCGCGGTGTCCTGAGGACACAGCGGGCACAGGAGCGTGGTGCCGCGTGCTCTCAGGTAATGGCAACCCGCTCCTGCACTGCCACCATCTGGCCGTTTATATACAGCGGCCGGAAGGGAAGTGGTTTAAAGCTGAAAGTGTAATCTGCATGTGCTCCACAGGCTGAATGTGACATCAATGGTTGTCTCTGGTAACGCCTCCCCCCCCCCCGCAGGAGGGATGAACTTATCCGTTAATCTCTTTTTTTATACTGTAAATACTCCACCTAATTTTCCAAGGAGCGTATTTATTAACAGATGAAGTTGAAATCATATCTGAAAATAAAGATAACAAGAAGACCAATAGTAATGGAGATATTTATACTACCCAGAGGCTCCAGAGGCCTAATCTTTGTACCCTGTTGGGTTGAAGGGTGGTTGACAACCTCTACTTTTTTCACTTTCCTTATTCCTTATCCTTTCTTACCCTCCCCATCCTCTAAATGAGGGTTTTTTTTTGTAACCAGGGTTCCATGGAACCATAGGCTTCTTCCAGGGGTAACCTCCTGTTTAAGTGTCCATGTGTGTGTGACGGGAGGGACTTTTGGGGGTGGGGGGACCTCTGTATCATCTTCCAAAATTCCCATTATGTTTAAGGCACCATGTGCCTGTTAAGGGGTACAGGGTGTGTATGTGAATGTCTGAGTCTTGTGTATAGTGTGCGTTCCTTTGTTCTCGGCCCACATGGCTGTCCATTGTCTGTTTGCCATGTGCTACCCCCCATTGTGCTGTGTCTTCCTGTCCAGCCAACTATTATGGGATGTACTGTTTGTGTATTGGTGTGGGGGTTGGTCAATGTCCATTGCAATGTGCTTCATCCCATTTTTTTTCTGTGTCTTGGTGGGGTGGGGAGGGCTGATGATGTATTTCCTGTTCCTGGTTGTGTTTCCCCGCCCTCTGTATATATTCGGTGTTTTGTGTTAAAATAAAGAGTTGGCTTCCTGTATTAAGAAGAGCTGGGTGCTGTCTTTTTCCTGAGGGATTTCAAGGGTGTGGTCCGTGGATGGTGTTCGGACAGGGAAGCTGTGGAATAACGGAAAAACTCAGTGTGGTCTGGGTTCCGGTTCCGTTACAGTGTGTTTACTCAATTCTTCAAAACACTGGTTAGGCCCCATTCACAAGCCGTAGCATCATAACATTTAGTGAGGGCATGGTTACATACCAAGCTACAGCTGCCAAAGAGACCCTTATGTTATCTCTGTCCTTTGCAGGTAGAGCTATTGTAAATGCTAATAAAAGGGGACGGCGGTGTGGCTGCCTGTGACAACCCCAGGTGGGGGTAAGCAGCTTCTTCTTCCGCCAGGGTCACAGTGCTTTGCAACTAAGGAGAAGAGCCATGCACACCGTGCAGCCTCATAGTATGAAGGGTTTCTTCCATCTTACAGCTTCAAAGAACTTACTACAATGATCTACAAAACCCTTTTACTAAACTTGCTATTAGAATTTGTAAAACTATATACACATCTAAGTGCTCAGTGCAGCTGTTACAGTTCTGCCAGGTCTTACAAGATTCCTCAGAGGATCTCTGCTGGGATTCTCAGGATTCCTAGGACCTGACTTCTCTCTTGCTTGCCGCCCAACAAGACCCCGTGCTGGACCTGACTATTTTCTTGCTTGCCTCCTGCCTAGACCTCTGCACTCACCTGACTACTCTATTGCCTGATGCCTGTCATGACCTCTCTCCTACTATTCTCCTGCTTGCCACATGCCTAGACCTCTGCTGGAATCTGACTACTCTCTCACCTGCTCCCTGCCATGCCTTCTGCTTGGACCTAACTACTTTCTTGCCTGCTGCCTACCATGACCTCTTCCTGAGTCAGATTATCCTCTTTTCTGACACCTTGAGAGTAGTCTCTGCAAAGTAGCTCATTCTGTTCCAGCAATCCATTGGTGGGGTGATCCTGAATGTTAAGACCTGGTGCCAATTTGTAGCAAAGAAAACCTGGCATGACTGGGGTTTCCAGCAGATCTACAATATCAGGAGCTCAGGTGATGACCAAATGGGACTTAGACTTCCTAACTTAGGTGAGCCTTCGTCTCCTGCCAGGGGGCACCATAACACCAACTCTAAGAAATATCCATTTAATCCCCTCAGAGTTGTGCACCCCCAGTGGATCCAATGTGTGCGTGATTTCATCACATCCCTTTGTTCCGCCCAATATGTTTTGTCTCACATGGACCTCATTAGTAGCGGTCCTGGAGTCTAAAAGAACTCAACAGAGTGCGCACATCATTCTTACCCTTAAACAAGAAGTATTGCATAATTTTATTGGCAGGAGTAATATGAAGCCCAGATCAAAATTAAGGGGACATGATTTTAAACTAGCAGAAGGAAAGTTCAAAACTAATCTTATGCTGGCCATAGATGGGTTGAAAATCGGCCGATTTTTAAAAAAAAAAAAAAAAAAAATCGGTCGTTCGATTGGCCGACGTTACCACCAACGTTAAAAAAATCGGCCGATTTTCGACCCGTCTATGGCCGGTATTAGACAGAGACAGGGGAGCACACCATACAATGTGACAACAATACAAATACATTATTTGGATTACAATGTTTTTATTTGGATACCAATGGATACATTTGTTGCAACCGCAAGACTTTTTCATATAAAATATAATAGCGGACTGGACTTCCAGTTTGTAGATAGGATTCAGGTGTCTCCCATTCCTATCATCCATTCACTTTAGCAGAATAACATTTCTTCTTCTTTTTCTTCTTTTTTTTTTTTCTCCTTCTCCTTCTTCTTTTTCTTTTTTTTTCTTTTTTTTTTTTTTTTCTTCTTCTTTGCAGGTCACGGCTCATGCGCAGATTTTTTATCGGTAAAATGATCGGCTGATTTGTCCATCATTGCCGGGAAAATCGGCCAATCGTCAAAATCGGCCGCAAATTTTCCAACATGACCAAATAAAAAAAATGTGCAAAACCTCCGAAAAATGGCCAACCAATTAACCCACTAACGGTACAAAAATCGGCCTATTTTTTTTTCTGCTGAAAAATCGGCCAATTTTTGACCCGTCTATGGCCGGCATTAGAAAGTATATTTTACTGAAAAGGTAGTTGATGCTTGGAATAGACTTCCAGCAGAGGTAGTGAGTCAGTCAACAGTAAGTGAATTCAAACATGCTTGGGACACACATAGATCTATATATATAGAGAAAAATGTAAAAAACAAAAAAACAAAACATGTATTGTATACATCCCCTGAAAAAATAGGGTGGATTTGATGGACCACTTGGTCTTTTTTTCTGCTGTCACTTTCTATGTTTCTATGTTTCCATACTCCTTAACCTCTTCATGTCAGGACACTTTCATACCCCCTTCCAGCTTCCGGGACACTTTCACCCCTTCCAGTCCGACACTTTCCCCCCCCTTCCAGTCCGGACATCTTTCTCCCCCCCCAGTCCGGACACTTTCCCCCCCTTCCAGTCCGGACACTTTTACCCCCTTCCTGTCACACACTTCACCCCCTTCCAGTCCGGACACTTTCCCCCCCTTCCTGTCCGGACACTTTCCACCCCCTTCCAGTTTCCGGTTTCCCCCCCCCTGTCCGGACACTTTCATCCCCTTCCAGTCCGGACACTTTCCATCCTTCCTGTCCGGACACCATCAAACCCCCTTCCAGTCCGGACACTTTCCCATTCCAGTCCGGACACTTCCTTCCCCCCTTCCAGTCCGGACACTTTCCCCCCAGACTCCACCACTTTCCCCGCCAGTCCGGACACTTTCCCCCCCCCTTCCAGTCCGGACACTTTCCCACCTTCCACGTTCCGGACACTTTCCCCCCCTTCCAGTCCGGACACTTTCACCCCCCTTCCAGTCCGGACACTTTCACCCCCTTCCAGTCCGGACACTTTCCTCCCTTCCTGTCCTCGCCAATTTTCAGCTTTCAGCGCTATCACACTTTGAATGACAATTGCGCTGTCATGCAACACTGTACCCATATGAATTTGTTAGCATTTTTTGGAGACAGATACAACTTTACTTTGGTGGGATTTATTCACTGCTGGGATTTTTATTTTTTTTTTGCTATATAAACAAAAAAGTCCAAAAAGTTTGAAAAAAACGTTTTTCTTATAAAATTTTGCAAATAAATAATCTTTCTTCATAAATCTTGGCCACTAATGTATTCAGTTATCTTTTTAGTAAAAAAAAAATCCACCCAAATTAGTTTATAACCAAAAAATTATATTTTTTTTTACATTTCCGACTTCTTATCCCTGGAACTTTCCCTGCCCCAACCCATCAGATTTTTTTATATAATTATATTATTATTATTATTATTTTTTTTTTTTTTACATACTGTCACCCTAGCAGTACAGTGTCTCCATAATGACACTGAAAACCCACTACTTGTCAGGGGCCTGATGAAGATTTTTTGCTTTTTTCCGACATCCTGCTTGCTTAATACCACCCATTTCGGCTGTAAAAGCAATCATTTCTCCTGTCCTCTGGCTGCACCCCCTGCAGCCATTGAGAAATATTGTGTAAGCTGTGATAGGTCACAGCTTGTCACATGGTACAAGTCTTTTGTGCATAGCCCTGTACCATGTGACCTCTGTGATCATTCACATGACTGTCACACGTAAGTACAGCAAATGATGTCAGAAGTGACATCATGCTTACACCTCTTCATGTGATCACTGATTGGCCAATCAGAGTTCACATGATCGTAAAAAAAAAGGTTCCGTACAGCGTTCGGGCACAGCGGACACCGGATCGCAGTGCCGCGCGCTCCACAGGGAGCGCGCACAATCCAAAATAGGGTGGGCGCCGTTTATAAACGGCAACCCACCCCTGGACTGCCATCGTCCAGCCTTTTATATACAGCAGCCGGACGGGAAGTGGTTAAAGCAGCAGTTCTTTCTATTTTACGTTGCTTGATTTTAGATATTAGCTCTAAATATACATCAAATTATTTAATCATCTTCCTAAAATTGTGGTTGGTTTCCTCTTTTCTTACTCCCTTTTATTGTTGGGGGTAGGGTAATATGGCTTGTTTTAAATGTGTATACTTCATTTTAAAAACTGTCGAGTCACAACCTTTGTATGTTGGAGTCAACTTTTTTATTCTCATTTTATCTTTTAACAGAACACCATTAAACACATCTGAAAACCAAAACAATTTACTCATACACACTATAGCACTTTACATGATTTTTTAGTTTCTTCGAAATTCTATTGTGCATTAGTGAATCATTTTTTTCCCTCTTCCCATCAGACTTTCTTTGGTGTTTAGCTCCGGCCTGCATAGAATAATGTAACACTTGGGAACAAAGATACACATAACCATAGCCCAACTGGAAGACAATATGGCAAAAATTTCCATGGCAACTGAGTACTTGCCACGAGTGCTAAGGTACGCTGGAATAAAGGACACCCAGACACTCAGGAAGGCCAACATGCTGAAGGTTATAAATTTGGCCTCGTTGAAGCTATCTGGGAGCCTTCGAGCCATGAAAGCAAGAACAAAACTGATAAAGGCCAGGAGAGCCAGGTACCCAAGCATACACCAAAAGGCTGTTGGAGACCCTTCATTACAGCTTGCGATGATAACTTCTGGTTTGCTGACATCATATTCCGGGAATGGTGGAGAACTGGATAACCATGTTATACATAAACATAGTTGTATAAAAACACAACAACTGATTACATGGTAGCCCAACTTTGACCCAGTCCATTTTCTTAAACTGCTGTCAGGTTTGGTAGCTTTGAAGGCTATCAAGACAGTGATGGTTTTTGCTAAGACACATGAGACACATAATGAGAAAACCATGCCAAAAGCCACCTGTCGTAGAAGACATTTTTCTGGTTGTGGATAGCCAATGAGTGTTAAAGAAGAGAGAAAGCAGAGAGACAATGACAGCAGGAGAAGACAACTTAGAAAGTAGTTGTTGGCTCTGACTATAGGGGTAGTCTTGTAATAGATGAAAAGTCCCAAGAGAGAAAATGGGATTGTGGAAGAGGTAATACTTGTGGCAACCAGTGTGGCTCCCAATGGCTCTTCAAAGGAAAGAAATTCAATAGCTTTCAAGAGACACTCATTTTGTTGGACATTTGGACACTGATCCCAAGGACATCTGAAGCAGTCGACTGAATCTAACAAGAAAGGAACATTATTGCCATATTAATAATATATGCAAAACAGTCTTATATAATTGCTATTCTAAGATCCTGAGAGTTTCGGACAACTGGTCCCTGACATGTTGTGTACTACATGAAGAGATAGTGAATGAGGAAAAAACAAAGAGAGGGCGGACAGGCCTAGTGCATTACCATGAACAATGTTTAAAAAGAAATAAAGTAGGTGTTGTACTCACAAACGACAATAAAGTCAAGGCACGTCATAAAAAGAACAGCTGGGTCAGCACCACGCTTGTCCCATGGACAAAAAGGGGCTCTGAGGAAGAGGCAAGTTCTTGAAACGCGTCAGCCTATTGGATGTCTACACTCCCTATTGCGGACTGTTACTCAGTGCTGTGTTGACCCAGCTGTTCTTTTATGATGTGCCTTGACTTTATTGTCGTTTGTGAGTACAACACCTACTTTACTTCTTATTAAACATTTTTTATGGTAGTGCACTAGGCCTGTGCGCCCTCTCTTTGTTTCTTTCCTCATTCAGTATATTTGGATTTCCCTGGTCTATTGAGGGCAGCAAGGTGTGCATGTTCCAGGACATTCTTAACCATTTGCTGCCCGCCCTATCGCCGAATGGCGGCCGGCAAATGTCATCAGCGTTCCAGGTGGACGCCATATGGTGTCCGCCGCACATGCGCAGATTGTGCTCCTGCAGAGCCGTGTACCGTGTACCTCGGACACGGCTGATGACAGATCTGAGTATCGGCCCCCGTTGCCGGTACCATGTGACCTGCTGTGACCAATCACAGCAGGTCACATGACAGTTGTATACAATGGATGGCTTCATTCATGCCATCCATTGTATACTAGTGTCTAGCTGTGAATGGTCACAGCTAATCACATGCACATGTCATGTGATTAGCTGTGGCCAAATCACAGCTAAGCAAAAAAAAAAAAAAAAAAACCCCTGAATGAATCGATGTCATTCAGGTAAATGCTTGCTTATAGCAAAGTAATTCTTTGCTATAAGCAAATTGTTTAAAAAAAAAAAAAAAATTAATAAAAAAAAAAATACTGATCACTTCCCCAAAGTAGTACAATGTTACTATGGTAACATTGTACTACTTTGGTCATAGTGAAATATGAAAAAGAAATCTTAAAAAAAAGAAAAAAAAAATGTAATAAAAAAAAAAAAAAAAAAAAAAAAAAAAATTTACTTTTTTTTATACTGTTACCAGTCAGTGTCCCTGATCACCGCCATGCCAGGTATATGATGCTGTACTGCACTGTTGACAATATGTAAAAAAAAAATAGTGAAACTAATTTTTTTAATTTTTTAATTTTCTGAAAAATTATGACAAAAAAAAGACAACTTCAAAAAACTCGCCATTCCTCTTATGAAGTACGTCGGACTGTCTACTCTGCAAAAAGGGGTCATTTGGGGGATATCTGTACTGTTCTGACATTTGGGGGATATCTGTACTGTTCTGACATTTGGGGGATATCTGTACTGTTCTGACATTTGGGGGATATCTGTACTGTCCTGACATTTGGGGGATATCAGTACTGTCCTGACATTTGGGGGATATCTGTACCGTCCCGACATTTGGGGGATATCTGTACTGTTCTGACATTTGGGGGATATCTGTACTGTTCTGACATTTGGGGGATATCTGTACTGTCCTGACATTTGGGAGATATCTGTACTGTTCTGACATTTGGGGGATATCTGTACTGTTCTGACATTTGGGGGATATCTGTCCTGTCCTGACATTTGGGGGATATCTGTATTGTTCTGACATTTGGGGGGATATCTGTACCGTCCTGACATTTGGGGGATATCTGTACTATTCTGACATTCTTGGACCTCAAGAAATTAGATTGGCTGTCAGTACTTCAGGATTGATCAATATTCAGATCTATCCCATAGTTTTGTGAACTCTATAACTTTCCTACAAACTAAATAATACATCCTAATTTGGGTTATTTTCACCAAAGACATGTAGCAGAATACATCTCGGCCTAAATTTATGAAGAACAATTATTTATTTGCAAACTTTTATAACAGAAACAAAGAAAAAAGTGTGTTTTTTTAAACATTTTTGGTCTTTTTTTGTTAATTTAGCAAAAAATAAAAACCCCGGCGGTGATTAAATACCACCAAAAGAAAACTCTAGTTGTGTGAAGAAAATGATAAAATTTTAGTTTGGGTACAATGTTGTATGACCGTGCAATTGTCATTCAAATTGTGAGAGCGCTGAAACCTGAAAACTGGCCTGAGCTGGAAGGTGTAAAATTGTATTGAATTGGTTTATGTGGTTGCAGCCTGCATCGAGTCCATCCCCAAGAGCAGGAGCATTTGTGTTTGCTGGTTCTATGAAGAGATAGTGGAGAGTATTGATTCTAGTTTTGACTTCAGTCACAGTATCAAATTTAGATGACTGATTAGTTTAAAGTGTATCTTCAGCTTTTATTTCTTTGTATAAAGTAGTGGATGGTCATGGGAACCCCTGTCAACTGTCATGTTGTGGAGAATTCCCTTCATTTTATATCCTGGAGACATCAGAAAATGAAGGAAATCTCTCCAATGTGATGGCAAATCACCTCTTTTGACAGCTGTTCACATTGAGATGTTCCCCCCACCTTCCGTTTTGATGACAACTTCTTCTTGGATATCTTATCACTTTCTGTCTCAATGATCAAGAGGACAAAGTTGAATTTTTCCAATAGGCACACAGCAATAAAAACCTTCCAGAAGTTATATTTTGACTGGAAGAACCTGGAAACATACCAATGACCTAAGTGTTTTAGTAAAACTTTATTTTTCCAAAAGTGCACAAAGGATTCCTGTTTAAAACTTTCCCAGTTTTCGCCCTAAGAATGTGCTTAGTTGTAGAGGTTATCTGTACAAATAGGCCCATCCCTTCGGGTCTACTTAGAAATTACCAATAGCAAGGTTTACTTACAGTTTACTTATAATTGTTCATGTTCAGGTGATAGGAGTCAAACCAAACAAGATAGGGAAATAGAGGCAGCAAAAAAAAATGCATACTTATTAGAGTTAGGAAGGCTTCAAAAGTGTTTTAGAACCATATCTCCATGTCCCCATTATATAGATATTCCATCACATACTGTCAAGATGACAGTTGTCAGAAAGAATACAAGTGAGCACAAAATCTTTATAAACAATAAATAATTTAAAACCAAATAAAAATTCTCAGTGGGGATCAGGGGTGGACTGACAACTCATTGGGCCCCCGAGCAATAGGGGATCATGGTGCCCCTGTGTCCTTGCCCAAACTCAAACAAGCCTATGAAAAAGGTACCAGGGGCATCTCATGGGGCCCCCTACTGACCCCGGGCCCTCATGCAGTGCCTGAGTTTCCAAATGGTCAGTCCGCCCCTGGTGGGGATACAGATTTAACATTTAACACCAGGCATATATTCAAACCCTTCCCTTTCCTTCCCAATATACAAAACTTAGGCCATGGCTAGATTCGAGCTCTAAAGCAACCCTGTCACTATCCTAGACTTAAAGCAGAACTAAAAGCAAAACTTTTTTTTTTCATTTTGGATAGAGTAAGAGAGGGTTATAACCCTTGTCAGGTTTTTTTCCCATTTGTGTCCCATTGGGAAAATTTACCTTCATTCCCTGTCCCATGGACAAAACAGGAAATGAGAGATAATCCAGGCAAATTATGTGAAATTCTTGGGGACCCCCAGGTCACCAGAACTAATGTCCCAACTGGAAAATTTACCCTCTATTACTTTT